TTCGAATTGGCTGTTTCAGCTTCCTCCAGAGATTCTTCTCTACCTTTCGGAATTTTTCAACTCATCGCGAGATCTATTTGCGATGGCTTGTGTGAACAGGAATTCAAAAGATTTTTTCCTGCCGTGTCTCTACAGCTTCAATGTTCGCCGTCAAGAATGCTCCGCGTTAATCTGGGCCGCTCAAAATAACAAAGTTGCTCTGGCAAATCGTTTGCTAAAGGAATATCGAACAAATGCCAACACGACAGATAATAGATCTCGCACGCCTGTTTTCCATGCTATTCAAGTTGGAAGTGAGGAAATGATCCGAACTCTTTTGGAAAATGCGGCAGACATTGATTGGCAAGACGACCGAAATCAGACTCCGCTGCTATATGCTCTGCAGCGGAGACACCTGTCCATGGCGCGCGTTTTATTGCGACATTTCAATCTATCAGTGGACTGTACGGACTCCATGGGTCGAAATGCTATCTGGTATGCTGTTGCCAGTTGCGATGAGCAATTGGTACAAATTCTCCTAGAACGGCAAAGTGACATATGGATGATGGACTACCGACAAACCACCCCTCTCAGTCTGGCGATTTCCAAACGAAATTTGCCTATTATCCAGCTCCTGCTTGATCATTCACAAGCTCGTCCTTCACAGCCTCGACTGGTGGACGTGAATGCTGGAGACCACCCGCTTTGCTTGGCCGTCTACGCTGGTCTGAATGAAATTGCTCAAACTCTGATTGAGTACGGTGCAGAACTCCATGTCAGAGACAGATACGGCCAGCCCTTGTTGCACCGAGCCGCCAGCAATGGACATGATGACGTCACCAAGCTGTTGCTGGGCCATGGAGTGGATGTCAATAGTACTGATCCGGGGGGCCGTACAGCATTGCATTTTGCTGCATTTTATGGCCATAAGTCGACTACTAGGCTATTGTTGAGTACCCCTGGAATTGACATTGCGGCTTGTGACAGCGAAGGAGCTACACCTCTCTGCGCGGCCGCGCGTGGAAACCACCGATCTGTCGCATTGCAGATCTTGGCCGAGGAACCAACCAACATCAATGCACGCGGCTTTGGCCAAAAGACTGCTCTTCACTTTGCGGTTCAAAATAGAAACTTTCACCTCGCGTGTCTCCTTGTGGACTTGGATTCACTGGACCCAAACCTCTGCGATGACCAGGGGTGGACGGCCCTCAGCTACGCGGCATGTCAGGGCGATATCCGGATGTTGGAGCTTCTCCTTACCAGGACCGATCTAGATTTGGATGTACCGCGAGCATCTCCCATTTATCTTGCTGCCGAGAGGGGGCATGTGGAAGTTGCCCGCCGACTCGTTTCCCTTCAACAGGTCGATATCAACCAGACATTCTGTCACAAGTCTCCTCTTTTCATCGCGATCGAAAACGGCTACCGTGATGTGGCCAAAGTGCTCCTCGCACAAGGGTCTCGACTGGATGTTAATGCAAAGACCTCTCTTGGGGACACCGCACTGCACATGGCTGTCTCGTATGGGAATCTGGATATTGTGGAGCTTTTGCTCAAAGATGATCGACTAGATGTCACGGGTACTAATCGATATGGAGAGTCAGCCCTGGAGCTGGCAGCCCGGAACGGAAAGGAGCACGTTGTTAGGCGTCTTTGCCGCGATCACCGCGTAAGAATTGTTTGCCACTTCCGGAGTGCCATGGAAGCAACATCAAATCTTCGGATTATGTATTTTCTTCAGGGGCAGTTGATGAGACATGGCGTGGAACACGGCGTTCGTCGGTCAGCTCGACTTGCCGGAGGAAATTACCAGATCGTAGAATCTCGCACCAGGCCGTCACTTCGAAGGTCGGCGCGCTTGTCACAGTCAAGAGTCAGGAGAGCTTAGATGACGGATTCAGGTCAGTGTGAACTCTAAATTAGTAGTTTTCAGGATTATCTCTCCCTTCTTAGGATTAGTGAACTAAGACACTCAGTAATGGCAATATGAAACATATTTAGGATATCAGAGGAGGAACAGAGAATGCGATAGTAATACCCCATGTCGTATTCCCCCGTCCGAACTTTTTTTTCAATCGTCGCTTGTATGGCCCGGCGGGTGTCTGTTGATGGCGGTGTCCGAAGCCATGACTGTTAAATGGTGTGATTTAGAAGCACTCCCGCACCTCCACAAGCGCTGCTTCCGTTTACAATTATGGGAGTGAAAATTCTCAAGCCTAAGAGAATCGGCAAGAATTTCCGATATCCACGTGAAAAGAATAATCTAGTTCTCGAATGTAGTCGGCGGCGAGAGCAAGTTATTATCAGAAATAAGGAAGTTCACATACAGAAAGAATCATTGGATTATAGGAGTTGTGAGGTTCGAATCTTTCTGAAGTTTCTGAATTGCTTGTCTAGACGTCGGCTCATGACTACAGAAAAGCTCAATGAAAAGGGAGCTTACTACTGTACCATGATTGTGGTGACAGATCGAAAGATACCTGGAATGTGAGCCTCTGAGACTTGTAGAGTAATGAAAACCAGGATGTGCAACGACAGAGATAGCATTAATCACAATATCTGAAGCAGCTACCTGGTCACACTCTCTACTCTTGACGCCTCATTTTAGTGAAGGCATTTCTATTTTCGGAGGCAACCGACTGGGCCTCCAGGAGCGAGATGAACATGTTTGAGAGTATTTCATGGATACATAGAGTTCATGGATACATAGAGTTCATGGATACATAGAGTTTGAAAATGTCTCGTCCTCAGCAATCGACAGAAATGGAACTCATAGTGGTTGGCCCTAAATCCAAGAAGTAGAGCGAGGGATCAATGCAGCAGGGCTCTCTCCCATCTACGGGCCATATTTGGTGCAGAATGGTGCCAACCCCCCTAGATACTGAACGGTCGAACAGAGATACAGGGTGCAGGACTGTACAGTGGCCTACACCATTTGCAGCGTGTGGGCCTCGGGGATATCATGTCATCATCCGCCCTGTGAGCTTCATATATGATGCTTACCGGGAATTCATCACATATCTCGTAGAAGTGAGAGCCAGAAGCCTGCACGTGAAACTACCTGTCCTAGTGATATCCTACATAAACCATTGAAAGTACAGTCCTGGCTCCGGGAACGAGAACAACGGCTCCAGGATCTGGCTCGAGAGCCCTAAGAGCAAAATGGCTCCCGGGGCGAGTTTTGGCATTCCCAGATTCCGTTCAGTCATTCGTAGGATCGCCGATAGGGATCCCAGAACGGACCATTGTCTCTTGGTCTGATCGGAGGAGAAGCCTGCGCGTAAAGCCAAAGTGCCCGGTCTAGTGGCTTCTCACACAGATCTCCGAAACCAAAGGACTGGCCCTGGGATCGGAAGTGAGCGTTGTAGGAGCCCTCTAACCGCCGACACGGTTTAATATGACCCTTAAACCGACCGTGCCGAAATTAGATCAAACTAGGTTGTGAGTATGAGCAAATCAAGGACGTGGCTTTCAGTTCTCAGAGTTGCACAGCCAATGCACTGTAGTCTGGTTGCACTAAATAAAGGCGTATGCATGGATGGTAACTAGGCTCATGCGCGAGCGTACTCAACAAAAGAGGGCGCGTTGACGTAAACTTACTCAGAACAAAACACCTCTACCAGCCTCAGTTTCAAAGCTTAGCCAATCCTGAAAGTGAAATGACGGTGACAACATAGCAGGCCGCAGTGATCCGGCGATCCGCTGCACATCGTTTTTTAGTGTTGATCGTTGATACAAAGTTGAAGCCTCAACAAACAAAGGTGAGTATTGGGAAAAGCCACCACCGCCTCACCAGATGTAGCACAAAGAACCGATGCCATGGTGTGGCTCTCAGAAAAGCCTTTCATTGAATCACCTTCATTGTTGGCCACCCCACCGCCGCAGTAGAGAAAGGTTCAACAGGCATCACTTTGCATATGCATGAGGCTGTTTAGATTGGCGACATGCAGACAAGCCCACGGCATTGCAATATAAAGCACGCGGCAACAAGATAAGCCAAAAACCTATAAATATGGCCTTCTCCCCGGGGTTTCTGTCAAAAAAAACCTCTGCTTTGTCGCATTGGATGGTTTCCATTGCACTAAGAACCCGTTAGATGCTCCGCAGCAGCCAGCCCATGATAAGTTCGTCACCTTCGATTCTCCAAGCCCTTATTGTCACTCACACAAACAGTAACATAAACAGTATACACCCACCCAGCTCTCGCTAGGCCCTCGGCGGTTCACTCCAACCGACTTGTGTTCGTGCCGACCATCCAGACCCTCAGTCCAGACTAGGCTCAAACCGTCTGTATATTCGCACAGCTTCATGAGCCTCGTCGAGTCCAGATATTCATGTCAATTTTCACTAGCCCGTTGAGGACGAGAAGACAAGTGAGTCTTTCTATGCTGGTTAGTTTTTTGTCAGCACAATACAACCGGAGACTATGCTGAAATACCACATATTACGACCAGCCCGGTCGATTCAGATTCAACCACTCCAAATTAGTGTTACAGATGTTCCGCACCCACCAGCCAGCCACAGGCGAAAGCCAAATCGCCAATCAGTCCTGAAGGTGTGAGCCAGCTCTTTATGTGAGTCATGAGTCTCTTGTCTGATCCACTTCCTAAGTTATGTCCAACAGAAAGTGACTCCGGCGAGACCTTCAGGGATCATCAGCGTCTGAAAATGATGCAAGCGCGACTTACACGGCAATACTCGACAGGAATTTGCTAGGTTCACGCACACGTCGCCGTGGTCTCGGGTGATTCGAAATCTGGGGGAGTCTCCGGAGCATGGCTACACCTGCAGTCCGCCACGGCTGGAGCTGCAACTGGCTCGTATTGAAGTATTTGTTGGACTCCGAAGACGTCCCCTCATCGTAATATCTCCGTGATCTTGGTCGAAGCCTGCGAAGACTGATAAAGGACATTAGACAGGATGGGAAGACCGAGAAGGGACTCTCATATTACGAAATTCATGCTGAATATCTTCTGCCATCAACTCTGCAACAGTGGATTCCATTGCCAAGACGAGTACGAATGTCTTTTAACTCGTCAGTCCACGAGCATTCGATGAGCATCGCAGTCTGGTACGACTTTCAAGTCACTAAACATCGATTCATCGACCTCACGCGAAACCAACGACATCGACAGCGCCAGCTTCCTGTCGTCCAACTCCTCGTCGATGAAGCGACTGTCGCCCCGGCTCCTGAATCAAAGGTTCTCGTCAAAATCAACCTGAATGGCTTCTCAATTCAAGGATCGGTAAAGCTGGCGGACAAGATAAAAGCAGTGCTGTCCCCCACGACTACGCAGGGAATCTCCTTCGTGGGCTTGGCAGCTCTTCATCACCACAGTCGCATCGGAAATTGATCATGCGGCGATGAGATGTGGTCTATACGGCGAGATACATCCCTCACAGTAGAATGGAATGGTACTTCAAAACCATCCCTCGTGTCGCATCCCATGCGATAGCTGGGGCATCTCCAAATGCAGCCCTCGTCATTAACAAGCAACTGTCGTGTGCCGTTGAGCCCGCATCCTGAGCATCGGCCCATTTGCTAAACTTTGCCAAAGGGTCAACCCCTTTGGTTTAGCAGTCTCATGATTCCCATGATGAGTTTCTCACCTTTGATACTATCCGACCCCTTCACTTACTGATATGAACAGCATACACCCCCAACCTTTGAAGTCACCAGCTCCGTTACGCAATGCATCTCGTGCGTCTGCTCCGCGCTATTGCCTAGCAATAGTCACACATGACCTTAGCTGAAGGGCAGACCAATACGACGAGGCGTTGGGTCGAAAGTAGGAGGAAGTAGGGCTGATCCGTGCCTAAGTCAGCCGTGCGTTGTCCAAAAGTCCACCGAGCATCTTTAGAGCGAAGCAAAGCGTGGTCAAAATTGAAGATGAAGAGTTGCGAGTGGGCTCTTCTTTAACAGAATGCATACTGTACTGACAAAAGGGTTATTGTTCAAGCGCGGCGACCAGACCAATCCTGCGGGATTAGCGAGCAGGGCGCGAACTTACACGCGTCTTGCACGACCTCACCGCCTAATCGTTCGCGGTGGATCTTTACCAAGGCCAGCCAGGTGACAGCACTGCTTAGCGACGCGTCAGACTCAATGCACGGAATCCCTCATCCATCTGTTGCCCAGTAACGAGCATCCTGATGCGGCATAATCAGGAAAGCGCTCCTACCGCCCATCCCTTTTTTGACGTCCTCAGAGACACCGCGCTGTTTTTTCACCCAAATGGTCGGCTTGACTGGGCAATCAGCAACCACACCCTCTACCATTCTTGCTCACGACAGGCCGCTCAACATTGGCCAGCCTTCTAATTCTTTCCGAAAAACGATATCTACCTGCCGGCTGATCGATACTTACCGATCTCAATCGGCCCATGCTCTGGAGAATTTAGCGAATGTGCATTTCAGCGTGTCATCCGCTCGGCCTTTGTGATGCATGGATATAAATGCTAGCGGATCGCTGTACTTCCGCAACATTTGCGAACGGATCGAGACGAATCCGGGGTTTCAGGAAGATCCCGATCAAAAACAACAACACTTTCCCCAACGAAGAAGCCGATGATCCCACCGAAGTCAATGGGCCTTACAGACTCGTCCGGCAAGTGGCCCATACGCGATTACAACCGCTGGCACTTCAAGGCGTACCGGTTGAGCGATTCAACTCAATTGTTATTGACACAAGGGCCATGACTCCTCCCAAGATAACTGTTAGCTTATCGAGCTCTGTTTCTCTAGGAGCAGAGCATACCTCCTCTGAACTTTTTGGTAAAGTGGGAGATACTCTTTCCCCGGGGCCCGTCGCCGTGGGCTCAAAAACTGGTATCTATGGTCTGACCACTTTCATTCCGATCATCTCTGGCGGACCGATTACATCCCCGTCAGCTACTTCCAATCCTACACTGGAAATCATTGCCCACCAACAAGTACGGAGGCTCAGTCGAGTATTAGCCACCTGTCAGTGGAGCTTGTTGGCTTTATTCGCAAGATTAACTCGTGGGTCGAGCATCCTGGTGCCCCCGAGGCTACAGGCGTTATTCATGCTATCGAGAATATTCATCCGCATATTGAGGGCCTCCTCAGCAAGCTCGAACCCGAACCGGGCTCAAAGAGCTGTAAGAGCACGAGCAGGAAACGCATTAAGAGAGACCTTTCTAGCCGCAGCGCTTTCCTGTCCTTGTTTGATCTCGTGGATAACACCCTTTGTTCGGTAAATGATATCAAAAACAATGTCAGAGACAATATTTTGAACGACGTGAAATCGAACCTCAAAGACCTTCAGAATGCGGTTGACAACCTTTCTCAAGAAGCGGGGCCATATAAGACCCCACTCAGTCTCCAAGCCAATCGTCTTCGAACCCATCAACTTCATCGCTATCTTGCTCTGCGACAGCAACAGTCAGCGATTGTAGTGTCATTTGCGACATATCAACCCTACCCACTTCTACCGTATCTTGCTCTACCACTTGTTGTTCTACATTCTTGGATTCTAGTTCGACAGGCACAACCACAACCACCACTGTCGAAGCCTGCACAAAACCCTCAGGCTGGAACACTGTGGCGGACGGGGAGGATTTTCCTATGTCCCAGCACCTTAGCATATCAGGTATAGCTGCTCCCAGTGGCGCAAGTGCGTCCTGACGCTCTACGTCAATTGCAAGGAGCCTACGACTGGGAGCTCGGCCCAGCTCCTCGGTTCCTGTAGAGACAAGTGTCGGCTTCCCAACCTCATCGAATGCAGCCATCGAGTTGAGCATATCCGTCCCAGATTGTCTGGCAGATAGGGCTCCGCGGTACCGCCCTACAAGTTGGTGCGACTGTGGACCGGGTTCAACCTATCCAACACTGCCTGTTACCTCTGGTTCTACGATAGCCAATTGTGCATACACTTCGCTGCCTGCATCAAAAATTCAACCTGCGAGTACGTCCGCCCGCCGCGCCAAAGAGTATCCTAGGCCAAGGCGGTATTCCGGCCTGTGTTGCGGTTGCTTCAAGCAAGGAAACATCAGCATACTGTAACTGCGGTGGTATACTGGCTCCAACCCTCAATCCCACCGCTTCTGGGCTGCTAAACTGTGCCTACACAGCTCTGCCAACTCATTCCTACAACCCGGGGCGGACGCCGCCATCTGCTACGCCAGCCCGCTCATATGCACCTGGAAAGTGCAAGGTGCATATCGTGCAAGCCCTCGGACAACAATTTAGAGATCCTGAAGTCGTGCTCGGCATTAATATCACTGACGCGCATGGCACCACTATTGGTAATAACAAGGGCTCCGTTAAGTGGGGTCAAACACTCAATACAGACAGTCTACTCCCATGGGTCCTCATAGTGACTCCGCAGAGTGGTATTAGCAGCAAGAGAGGAACATCTGGGGCATTCCTTCGAAAGAGGGTGGGGGGTCCTATTCACTCTAATCGGCTGTTGTTCGTGAGCGGCCCGGTTGATTTTGCGTATGCTTCGCAAACGTGGGATACCACCTCTTCACAATGCTCGGTGGGAGACTAGAATAACGGCATCGCAAACGACTTCTTTGGATCCCTGATTTTCGGTGAAGACTTTTTGCCTAATCGCCAACTCGACTGCTTATTTGACTGCCCGGCTCCAGATAATAGTGAGAAACGGGAAATGGTTGAGCATCATGACAAAGGATGGAAGCAAGGCTTGAAAAGTCCTTCGCCGACTATCGGCAACGACCCGTCACCTAGTGTTGAGCAGCTCTATAAGATACGAGATCTGAATCCCCAAGCAAGTCATGGCGCAGCGTGGGTCAAGTACGCCCCAAGTGGAGCACGATATTTCAAAGAGTGGCAAGAAAAGACAGGCGATGACATAGGATACCCATGCGACTTCGACGATTTCTTCAATGTCGTAGCCTTGAACCGAGCACAGCCAGCAAGCGGTATCCGAGGCAACCCCCAAGAAGCAGGATACGGCACTGGCCGGGAGTATCTCGCTGTCTCTATCGAAGGCCCCAAGGACAATCTCATCGCTGACTTTACCAACACCATCAGCGCCACCCAGGGCGTCTTTCTGGCCAACGCGAACGACCGCGGCAGCCCACGTGTGGCCTGGCAGTTTTCAGCGGTTGCCTGGGAATTGTGGAAAAGAACCGTGCTGACAGAGAACCCGGAATGGAAAAATGACATGTCAAAAGCAGACTACTCAGGCGTCATGTCTTTCTGGCGCCGGGAGATCGACAACGAGGACACCAGTCCATCCTCCACGAAGCTTTCAATGACCTGGATATCAATTCCATCCAGACGTGGTACCCGGCCGATACTAATGAAGATACCAACCCTTTCTGGGCGCTGCTGGGGAGCCCCAATGGCAATGGAATCCAGCACTTCTTGACGGATAACAAGGTGGAGCTAAAGGGTAAGGGAGTGATCAGTATTAGTGCGGTGGTGAGAAGTAGCGGGTATTATACCATGTAGGCGACCTTTGGATGATAGTCGAGCATTATATATCGTCAGAAGAGTTAGATACTGCCCTTCCCGACAAGCCCATTGATCAACACATAAAACATCATTATCTATCACCTGGGCAGAAATTATGAAATGAAATCTATCTGCCATATCTCAGAATACTGGGGCTATTGTGTGCTAAAGATGGCGAGGCGGTTTCGAAAACGATGCTTGTCAGTAGGTAAAGACGCCAAGAAGATGCGAAGGCCTAGCCAGGATCTCGCTTCTGACCCGATACCTCTGCCCGAACCACACGTGCTTCCCACAATGGAGACTAAGATGTGAGTTCGAACACGGCTTTTTCCAACGAGGGCATTATCTAATTCAGTTTGTGTAGGAGGTTCAGGCATTTCGTTAAATCCCTGCAAGGAAAGAACGTATCTGGCGAGAACAGAACCTCGGACGCTACGATTGCCTATGGACTGAAAGATTGACTAGAAGTGCTGTATGCGCTGTATACCTTCTTTGAGATGCTGGAGGACCGAGTTCCATGTCAGGCACAGCATATAATTCTTCAGTCAATCCAGCGGCATCTTGGATATCATGCATTTTGGTACCTCAAGCGGTATTTCCTCCCAGACTCTGAATACGGAGGTTGGGACAGATCTGGACGACCATGGAGACATTTTGTCAAGCCCCTGAAATCAGATTTTCTTTTCACTCTACCTACAACCTGGGCAATCTCATAGTATCAGGAGCCATACGTGATCCAAATCTTAGTCGCTGGCTAAGTTGCTCTCTGCAGATCGTTCTGTGTGCCATAGATCGTATATCTGGAGAATTTTTACAGACCAAAGTGGGTCTCACCGTTGAATTCCGAAGTGTAACCGTTCAGATGTGTCAACGGTCACTTGGTTACAAGGCAAGACGGGTATCCTGTGGTGTCTGATTTCCTCTGGCAACATTTCCTATGTAGGCATTTTTGTGGTTCGATTAGTTTGAATAGAAGATTCCTGGGCTAAACCTCCTGGTGCCCACCAACTTCACAGATCTACAATTTTTGAGAACTGTTGTCAACTTTGAGATAACGGTAGTCTACAAAAGCGATGGCTCGTTCGTTGTGCAGTTGTCCTGTCGGACGTCGTCTGATACATAGCCAGAAATTCGTCACCTTAACGGCCGTAAATAACGAATAGATTGAGGATAGATGGTTGCTGAACACCAGGTAAAATATGCAGCATGGAGAATAAAACGCACACCAATTCCCAAGGCCAGCACTGGCCCTAGGAACTTGATGTCCTTACCAATAATCTGGACAAACCCTCCCAGGATGTAACAGACTAGGACTCAGGAATGGAAGGGGTGGCCCCAGGACTTACCTCGAAGATTTCTAGAAACTTCCCCTTCCTGGGAATAGGTAATATTATGAAACATTCCAAATAGTGTACCCCCTCTACCAGATCAGCCGTATCGAGCTGCCTAGAATACCCGCAATGTCACACTCAGGGTATATCACTGCGTCGGCCCCGCTCAATACCATATCATAAAACGCCGCCAATTACTTTTTTGTTGCAGCACACTCTTTTCAACATACCCTGTTTCGGAGCTCGCTCTTTCCCTTCTCCGCTCACAATGACCAGCCATAGTGCATGGGTTGATCATCCCAACACTATTATTGTACCAGATGAGGATGACACACGAAATCTGGCAGTAGAATCGGATTCTGTACGATCAGCGGGCCGCCTCTTGACTACTTCAGGATACGTGGAGGCTACGGGTGTACTCGTTGGATCCAGCATGAATGCACATGAGACCTCGACCTCTCTGAAACGAAAACGAACGAAATCGAAGGAACTGTCCGACTTGGTATGTCCTGGTTTCGTGACTTGATCATTATCATCTGGGACTGATTGAGACTAGGATCATACTTTTAAGAAACTCCGAACTGCAATTGATACCGAATTCACAACATTACGAAAAGAAAATCAGAAGCTTAAAAATGATATTAGTGTGGAGAGGGATAAAACCCAGAAATTACAAGCTGAAGTCCTAGAGCTGGGCAGAAAATTGAACCCTGAGTGCAAAGTTTGTTACAGACGGGACGAAAAATGGACTGTGCTTTTATGTGGACACATGTTCTGCTGGTCATGTGTTGAAAGCCTCGAGAAGCCACGGAGATGTCCATATTGCAGAGCTGATGTCATGGGATACTTTGTCTGTTATCCATTCGCCGGGTGAATGAGAAAGTACAGCTCCGTGGAAGGGAGGACAGTATTCTATCATGCGCGGACTATCGACCGTCCAGGACTGGCATATCTGAAATTGAATCTGGCTAGTACATGGCAAATTTGTTGTCTGGTGTTCCCTAGACATCGTACGACGACATCTTCCCCGCTGGCATTTACGGCATAGTTGAACGAATAGATTGTTACATTGGCGGATTTTCACGCTATAATTGATTCCAAACGATAGGCTTAGGCACGGTCGGCAAGTCTAACCGCGGTTTTCTGGCAATAGAAATTCATCATAGCCAATACTGACTGCAAGCCTGGCTAGACCAGGTCGAATCGTACCTCCCATCTTAGCATTGCCGGCCACCGTGGTAGTGTAGGCGTTATGGACAGCTGCGCTTCTCGCGTCGACCGATGAGCAAGTGTCTGTGTGGACATCACATATTCTCATACCTTGGACTTCCAATCCGGCCTTCTCTGCAGCTATCGTGGAAACGACGAAAGCTGATCTTCCAAAGTTGATCGCTGACCCAAAGTCGAACTCTCCCCATGTTGCCGCATAGCTACCATCTCGGTCAACTGGAATGGATGAACCTGAAGCAGCGGCCCATCCACCTTGAGAGTTGTCATCGAAAGCTATATACCGAACTTGACCGCGGTCCAGAGTGAATGTTCTGCAAGCGTTGCCAAGCCAACCTCCTAGATGTCCGTCGGAAGCAAAATTATTCCATATCGACACGGTCCAGCTACGTCCATTGCTGGGAGCTTCGAACCGGACAACATATTTGTACTGGTTTGCGGCCTCGGCAGATACTTCGATGATATTGCTACCATATGGATCGCCAACGTTGCCTAGATATTGAACCCTTTTCACCAAGAAAGTTGGAGGTCTGAGGGATATTAATGCAGAGGGAGGTGCACTCATATAAGCGATGTTCCAGTTGAACATAATCTGGGACGCGTCTGTGGCGTTGGAGTACTCATAGCCTCGACAGCATGATTGCAGGAAGGACCATGCGAGAACCCAGAAAGGGGGTAGCATGATCGACAGACGAATATTGCAAAGCGGAAAAAATGATGTGTACGGTATAGTGATATGTTGGAAAAGGAGAACTCTTGACACGATTCGATGGCCTACAAATACTTTAGGTCTTGCTAGCAGCCAATATCAAAGCGGTCTAATAGCACTTCCACGCTAAAAAAATATTTTCTGATACCTCTTTATCCCGGTACATCAAATCCTTAACTAACTAGTGGTTTAAACATGTAAACAGATGAAAATAAGTGCGGTGTCTAGGATAAATCAATAATGAGGTCAACGTTTGATATTGCCCGAAATGACGGCCAACGAGGAAATTATTCGGATAGTCCGCAAATAGTTTGAGGTAAATATTTGATTATCATGACAACATATCAAAAACAAGTTCTTTTGTTCTCTTGGACTGATATCAGTAAACTAAGCATCGCTGCGCATAAAGTTAATATTTGGCACCAAATGAAAGTCGGGTGGGCTAATAGCATAATTGATTCAATCATAGCTCTGAAAGATGCTATAAGACCGTTACTGTTATGGAGAGTTCAGCCGCAGAAAAGTTTTGATTAAGGCCTTGTTAGAAAGCTCTGTTAACGTATATAAGCTACACATAACTCGACTGCAGGACACTATGTAATGAGAAGTACTAAGAGAGATTCTGCTGTGAGATTTCTCGCCTATGAAGATCTGTTAACTGCAGGAAAATACGAGTTCTGATGATGTGGCGGTGGAAAAGCTGAGGTTTCTTAGTACCTTGTTAGACTTAAATACACGAGTTTAGCCTACTATAGCATAGTGCATTCTTCACACTACGTTCTCCATCCTTAAGTAAAATTACAGGTGTTCTGAAATGAGGTTTTCATAATTCGTTAATATTAGGCTGAATGAGGTCTGTCATTACGCACCTCCAATGTCTGGTGCGACCAATTTCAAAATTGATAACTAGAAATTCTCTCAGCAAAGAACGTTGTTTTGAGTAGCCTCAGTATTCTTTTTTGAAGAGGTGCCAATTTGGAGATATAAAGCTTCATGAAACGCTATCTTGTAGAGTCATAGATGTTTTCTCATTATTATCTACACAGAAAGGCTAGAGAATTGGTCAGCTAGAAAATTCCAAACGTCTACCCGATATATCAGCAGTCTGAAATCGATAAAATAGAGCGGGATGTCTTTGCTCATCGCCAGCGACGCTTTCGGTTATCTGCAAGAGTCCACATAGCAAATTTTTCTTTTGAACAAAGTTTTCGCAAACGAATAGACAGTGGTCAGAACACCCGCCGGATAAAACGAATCATGACAATTCAAGGTTGTCGTCGATTAATGCAAAATAACTATGTCCCCGTCATCGTACCCAAAGCAGACTGGAACACCCGTGTTCGTCCGCGTTCACACGATGGTATCAATTTCTGGCTAGATGTTGATCCAGATTATCAGCTCCGCGCCCAGGACCACGAGAGCCTTATCAGAGCCGCCCTTAGTAGGCTCAGTATTCACAATCAATGGTGGATCGCTGATGTATATGTAGTGGATAAGGACGGTACGTCAACTCTAATTCACAAAGACGTAAAAGATCATCGCTAATTATTATGCTATTCAGACGACCGTGACACCAACCCAGATACTGTAAAGCGATTTTTTCGGTCGCTGAACGAGCGATTCTCTAACGACCGTCGGCCCCCTAATAGGCTGGTATATAAGCGGATTCGTTACTATAAAGGTCATCTAGATAGGCCAATCGATAAGTGGGCTGCGAAGGATTGGTGGGCTATATTAGAGACGACGCCTGGCAGTAAAAAAGGGAAATACCTTCGTGCATTCTTAAGGCATCCACGATTTCCCCAGAAGCTTAATTCCCTGCTGATCATTAGTGGTCTATAGGGAGGAATGCGTATTAGTCTTTTACACAAGCTGCTAGCAATACATTGTGATAAGGTACGTCGCTATCCAGAAGTGTTAAAGCTTTAGCTAATACTTTACGTTGCAGCCAATCCTTTGTTATTGGGACTTGATTCTCAAGACGTTTCTGAAAATTGCGGGCAACCGGCATAAGCTCTTGCCTCTGATAGATAGAGCTACAGTGAAGTTGCTCCAATCTCGCGCCCCGAAAGTCTCTCCTCGCGATTATAGATTCTTAAAAGGGAAGAAGGATCGCGCTAAGCTGTTTCCAAACCTGTCGCCTTCACAGCGGCAAGAATTTTGGCAATAGTTACAAGAAATCGACTACCCAATTCCAACTCTGGAGACGTTCTTCAAAGATCGTTCCTATCTCGAGGTCGGCCAAAGCGTTATAAAACAACTTTATCTATCTGATCCGCACCGACAACTCACCGTTGATCAAAAGGTCAGTGAGTTATTCGATACGCCCTTACCAGTCCTTTATACTATGAGTCAGCAAAGGCTTGGACATGATTTACTGGAATTCTGGCGCTTTAGCTTCCAGTACGGTTTTGAGCTGACAGATCACTAACGTCGCAAAGCTCTGGTTAAGGTTTTAAGGGAGTCCACTCCTAGTCCAGTTTTCGAGGAGCCCGGCCCTCCAGACAGGATATATATATGGGGCCACTTCTGCCAAATTATTCAGTCGAGAGGATTTCGACCTCCTACTAGATTCGACTTCGTACCTCGGACCCGACTTCCCGACCCGGTTGCTTGTGATTTTCCCGAGATAGGGCTAGAAAAAGACGTAGAAGTGGAGAAGCGCTCGGGGAAACCCTTCTCCAATACCGTTGAGGTAGACCGCCATGCTCTATCCGCCGAATTTCTTCGACAAAGTTGGACGACTCCTCAAGTGACGGCAGGATTCCTACGGAGGTCCGTGTTCAAGGCATTTTTCTCTTATCTCATCGAAGAGGGCCAGGAATTCAACTAAGCACTAGCAGTCTATAGTGCCCCGATTGATCTCGACGATTTCTTACGAGAGATAGTTCGTCCAAACTCAGATATAGATATCAGAAACACAGAGATGGCATCAAGAATTGAACATACACCGGGATCTGCCATCCCAGTCGAGACATTCACGGCTCTACCCACCGCTGCCATTAAGGGTGATCCAGATATAACAACTCACCCAAGCCAAGGGCAATTGTATTTCCGTATGCTCGTCACGATCGGCAGTGACCAGAAATCGCTGAATTTGCCCGATAACCATGAATTCATAAATTTGTTTCAGCACGGACTGAACCAGCACTATTTTAGTATTGCAGTACCAGACGGACGACTGATTTGTCCGGACGAATGCTATACATATTATCTCCGCCATCCGGAAGCAACACTACATACGCAATATTATAACGGAGAGTATACTATCACTTCTGAGTCAAATTCTCAGGCGGTGTTGACAGGCCCACCCTGGCAAAATGATGCAAGGACCCAGATGAAAAAAGCCAAAAATTGGCTGAACGAAATTGCGCGTCGGTGTGTTCAAAACACTTGATCTGATATAGGCGAGCTGAAATCCTTTTTCCGGACAAGTTACTTCCAGGATCAGCTAGAGACACTCTGCAGGCAGTACAGGAGAGCAATGGAACAGACATCCAGAGGTTTCGCCTGTTGAATCTAGCAACCTAAAGATGTGACAGGCCAGTCATATTAAGGTGAAGAATCACGCAATGCGGATGTGCTATTGAATGAATACTCTCCATTTACCCATTCCTGTCAACACGGGCAGTGTACAGATGAACTTCCTCTATGGTTCCTTAAAGAAGTTTGATACCATTTCGACTTTGAACAGGAATCATCGCAATCGCACTATGGGTGAATATATTTATGATTCTCGGGTCATTCACTATTCTCACATGTCCGCTAAACAATATAGTCTTTGACTATTATCTGCCAAAGCGATAATCTTCTATCCTTTGCCAAGTTCCTCAAATACAGACTTATACAGAACTGTATCGTATATAATCAAGGCGTGGTGTGTGGCCATCTTCAATGCGGTTCCAGTGGATTGTAAATGCACGCTGAGGGCGGGTTTTGCACGTAAAAGTTCGTATGCACTGGGGTTTCCAAGTGCGAAGAGATCAACACCAAGATCACATTAACATACTACGATATAGAGGAGCAACACTATACTTTTTCATTTTGTGATGAATTATATCAGAGCTTTTGAAACAGTCTGAAGATAGAGCTACAAACTTTGAGATAAGTTCCAATAGAAATTCATATGCTTCGTGAAATCTCACAGCTTCTCCCCATTTCAGAAAACTGTGTTCACCCAAGACCCAATATTCGCTGATAGGTTAGACAGTATTCAACTGTGCACCTGGACCTCCAGCGGGCGCCATCACACCGGCGTACATGATGATGCTCTGGAGCAAGACCGCGTGCATTATGACCAAGCCTATTCGGGGTAAAAACCGCATTTGAAAAGTACACGAGTTGCATATCATATAAATGCCAGCACCAAGAGTATTTTGTAATAACATATGAAGAAAATCCACTACAAGCTTAGTTTTCTCTCCCGATATGACTAAAGTATGAAAAGCGGGAACGAGAGATAGCAGTCCAAAACGCGCACACAGGTATAGGAACCGGGCCTCAATTGCTGCGGTGTCCAAAGAGCTGGTATAAAGATCAGTGATGCTGACAAGGAACATCCAGGTAGAAGCAATCAGATATGAAGATTGCAGTAATGGTTCGGTATCAAAGAAAAGCATGATAACAGACGAAGTGCTTCCCCAGATGAGAGCAAGAACCCCTCTATATTCTACCGCTCTTCTAAGTGCAGCATAGCTGCCTTCAAGACACAACTGGCTCTATAACTAGAGAGAGGAAGCACACTAAACAATAGCTCCAAAGCAGTACAATAGGACGGGAACAGTCATTTTCGGCCATGGTTTCGTCTGATTTGGATATGCGAGTGTTGTTTGTGTAGCCAAAGTTGAAAAGTATGCTGCTCCAAAAAGATGAAGCGCGGAGATTATTATCGAGTCGCAAGCCTGAGAAAGATTCATCTCGTCTGTGTGGAGTACTGTATAAAGAGAATGAGAAGTGAATGATTTGGAACCCATCAGCCACTTATAAATTACCCAGTTAGAGGGCAATTGATTTTCGAGACATGTGAAGTAAATATTCCACAGCCTACTGTCAATTGAATTTTTTTTTCTGAAGATCGGAGCCCAGTCAGGCGTTTTGGTGATCAGTTTGTCACTGTTGAAGCCCGTCACTATTGATACCAAAGCGTGTATTTGCGTATTCAACGTTAATAACCGTTTCTATTCAGTAAATGTGACAACTGACAACTGAACAATTTAAGGAAACCGGAAGGTGATTGTGGGGTGTTAAATTGGAGCAATTGAGTACTTGAAGCGGAGTTATATCCCAGAAAACTGACGAGCTTCTCATTCCCGTCTAAGAAGTTATCATCAAAGAATTCGCTCGACAGCAACAATGACTCAAGAGCCGACCGACATCTTTGAAGTTTTGTCATCCTACTACGAATCTGAAAGTGCAGGCTCAGAGAGCTCTTCCGCAGCATCTTCAGAAGACGACAACACAGAAATCAGTGAAGACTACGATTTCGTGGTTTCCGATGGCGAATCCCTGGTCTACACAGAAGTTTCATCAGCCTCCTCTGATGACAGAGAGCTTGAGGAACCAAATTCGGAATATGACGATGCCGCTGCGGTAAGTAGAGCCAGTGGGGTGACTTCAATTTTGAATGATGGTGGGTAATTTAACATTCGGAATAGGTTGGTAAGAAATTTCCTATAAGTGCCATCGCACAACGCGTCATCAATCGAAACGGAGTTCTGGTGACGCAGTATTTGGTTCTTTGGCAGTCCTGGGAAGATTCATATCTATGAGGCTATGAGAACGGCATGTCGCTTCGTTACTGAGGCCATCATAGATCAAGTGAAGGGGCTTTCCAGTGTTAAATTGTACCATCCAATTCCAAAAGAATCAGAGTAATATGTGGTGACTCTACCTTTTCTCATTTCAGGAAGATATCTAAATTCATGACGGACATAATCAAACCAAATTCCATTGAAAGTGGACTGGATTCAGGCCTTTCTTTGACCTTTTTCGGGGTTTGTAGCCGGGATGATGGGTAAATATCATGTCCTCCTGTATCCCGCAGAGTTGCCCGGTCATGTAGCTATAGATACTTTAGAGGAGGCCAAAAACGATCCAGGTTGAATTGTTGTCTCCTATGGGCTTTTTTGATTCAAAAGAGAGAGATAGAGAGTAAAGGATCGTCGGTAAGCTGTTGTCAATTCTGGAGGAAACAAGACAGCATAATGAAAGGGCGTACCTGCAAATAGCAGCTGTTCCTATCTTTGGAAATTCTATCCATGTGTGACGATCTGAGATGTTTATGCGATTTGAATTGAGTTGGCCTGAGACATCAGGCATGGCCGCAGGAGGCAAGGCTGCCTGATCGGGCAAGACGGAGGTTTTCAGGAGAGAAACTTCAGCTAGATACTTCTCTTCTCTTCCTTGAAGACTTCCTTTAGATCTCTAGTCTTGATACTTTCGTTGAAATGCACAAGTTGATTTGATCTGCTTCCTGGCACATAAGACCATGTACCCGTGAAGTGCAAGTGGGATGGGACTGGGCACAAATGTTGAAATTTGCCACCTTTGGTGTGATTTCAGCTTGTCTGTTCAGAAACAGTGACACCTTTATATTCACCATGAGCCAAGCTCTGCACGCACATAACACAGTCCAGAGCTTATATTTTATTCAATGGCAAAGATGATCTTACTTTAGAAAAAACACGGTTCTTTTTTCCCGACTTCACTTTCGGTAAGAGCCGCCCAGAGCTTTTGAAGGTCAACAACCATCTGTTCCAATCCAAAGCGCTGGTGATGTTGATGACTGAAGAAACCTCCGAGCGGATTCGGTGGCAATTCCATAGCCTATACAAGAGGTATGTCACGTGCATTATAGGGTAGTAAACACAAATGCTGATTTTCAAAGCTCAACTCAGACGGTCCAGCCAGAGATTTCGTCTCCATCGGTCCTTCGGTTTCCGTTTATCTACTCCAAGACGGAGGAGTTGGTGTGGCGATGGGATCAATTAAGGCTTTGTGGCCAGAGTATCGACATTGCTCTAGAGACTGTCGAAATACTGGACGACCAACCAATCAACTGGTCGGACCGAGATCACCGGTACATTTCTGGTGAAGGAAGCACCCTCAAAGTCTTACCTCCAGCACATCTCACCAATCTGGACTGGGACGGGTACAAGATTGGAATTTTCCAATCGCCCATGTCAGTCCGCAGGAAGATCATTTTGCTCGGTTATCGAAGCCATAGTCCGATATTCAAATTCCCGAGGTTTTTGCGTCCCCATGGTCGGACTCGATGGAGGAAATTTCAGCAGTGTCGCGTTGGCTGGTCGACTGAATTATGGATCTCGGATTGCGTTGTCATTGATCGAATGAGCCCAGAAAAACAAGAATTGGTGATATCGGCTTTGCGATCTAAAGAGTGTTCCACGAGAGTTTTCGTCTGCATCGGACTACCCGTCACCACATTTGGCCCACTGTTCAATACTATCGTATCCACACAAAACGGTGGCACAGACTCTTTTGAGCTTTCCAATGGCTTCATTTGGGTAGAAGCCTTGTTGGACGTGAAGACATTCTCGATGAAATCAGATACACTCCAGGACCCTATCCACCATCCATTTCTGTACATGCAGAAGCAAATGGGCGGCAAGTCATTATTGGTAGAGGCAAAACTTACTTTCGAATTGGCAACCTCAACCCGGATGAAGACAGCTATACAGGCTGAGTTGCTTGAAGTGTCCAATATTCGCACTACGTCTTCGCACAAACCAATCACACACGCAGAACCTGAGAGCTTGGTCGTGTGAAAAATACCTCGTGGCTCAGACACAGTTCGAAACCGGATCTCGCTCC